ACCGATCTGATTGTCTCATCACTTGCATCACACATCAATTATAAATGGTAGGGACCAACCGGGGCCTTGAACTATGGGGGCGGTGCATAAAGCTTCCTTCAACCTACAAAAAGCATCAAGACAATTATCATCAAATTCAAAATCCTTATCTTGTTGTAAGAGAGATGTGAGAGGCTTAGCAATCAAAGAGAAATATTTTATAAGACGGCAATAGAAGCCGGCATGGCCAAGAAAAGATCTCACCTCCCTCCCATTGGTGGGAGGAGGGAGTTTTTATATGTCCTCCACCTTGGCCCTATCCACCTAAATGCCGGATTAGGAAATCTTGTCGCCAAGAACTATGCCACTCTCCACCATGAAGTGGCACTTTTCGCAATTCAACACGAGGTTAGCCCTCTCACATCTTTCTAAACAACGAGATAAGTTGGCAAGGCAATCTTCATAGGTGACTCCCCCAATGGAGACCTCCATCTCTTCCTCAATCATATCTCTAAAGATGGACATCATGCAACGTTGAAACGTTACGGGGGCATTACAAAGACCAAATGGCATCCTACGGTAACCAAAAGTGTCGTAAGGGCATGTAAAAGTCGTCTTCTCTTGATCTCTCGGGTCAATTGGGATTCGAAAAAATCCCGAATAGCCATCAAGAAAACAAAAGAAGGCATGTCTTGTAAGTTTTTCAAGAATTTGATCGATATATGGTTGTGGGAAATGATCTTTTAAAGTGCATGTGTTTAGGTGACAGTAGTCAATACACATCCTCCAACCCGTGACAAGCCGGGTTGGGATCAATCTGTTCTTATCATTTTTCACTACCGTCACCCCTTCTTATTTTGGCATTACTTGAACCGGGGACACCCAATCACTATGAGCTATTGGGTAAATGATCCCCGCATCAAGTAGTTTGAAAACTTCTTTCCTCACCACCTCTTGCATGGAGGGGTTAAGTTTCCTTTGCATGGAGGGGTTAAGTTTCCTTTGCCTTTGCCTATGCGGGACTAATACCCTTGATGTCATCAAGAGAATAGCCTAAAGTTTTTCTATGTTTCCTCAAAACATCGATCAATAGAGAAGATTGCTTTCCTGTGAGGGAGGAATTAATGATGACGGGGAATGTGTTGTTGGAGTCAAGAAATGCGTACCTCAAGCCCGAAGGTAGAGGTTTCAAGTCTACCTTTGGTGCTTCGTTACCTTGTAGAGCTTTATGCTTATCATCTTCATGATGGAGGTCAAGTGGGGATGTGTTGCTTTCTTGAATTGGTTCTTTGACCTTCTCATTAAGCATTGCTTCATATACAAGCACTTCCTCTTGTAGACCTATCTTGGGCACGTTCAACAAAACATTCTTAAGAGTATCGTTAGGAACATGCATATTGAAGCGAGAGAAATCATCAAGCACGGTATCAAGAACATCAATTCTAAAGCATTCACCACTTAAGGAGGGTTGTTGCATGACATTATTCAAATCAAATTCAATGGAATCATTATCAATTTTCAAAGTCATCTCACCCTCCCTCACATCAATGATCACTCTGGAGGTAGCTAAAAATGGTCTACCCAAAATGATAGGAATCCTCTCATCCTCATCCATCTCTAGCACACAAAAGTCCACAAGAAATGTGAACTTTCCAACCCTAAGGTGAATGTCCTCACCTTTCCCATAGGGAACTTAGTAGATCGGTCCGTTAGTTGGAGAGTGACATTAGCGAGGGAGAGGGTTCTTACACTAAGCTTTTGGTAGACGCAAAAAGGCATGAGGCTCACACTTGCCCCCAAATCACAGAAAGCCTTGTCAAACTCAACACCATAAATGGAACAAGGAATGGAGAAGCTACCTGGATCCTTCAATTTGGCGGGAAGTTTGTTGGAAAGAATGGCACTACAATTTGCGGTCAAATTATGGTTTCACACTCCCTTCTCCCACTCAAAAGGTCTTTCAAGAATTTGGAGTAGTGGGGCATTTGTTTCATAGCATCTACAAAACGAAGGGAAATTCTTAATGACATCTAAAAATTTCCCAAATTGAGCATCGAGTTTGGATCTTACAAATTGTGAGGGGTAAGGAAATTTCTCCTCTCTTGGTTGCTTGTTCAAGGGTAGGGGTGTTGCTTCTTTTGAGGAGTTTTTCTCTTGAACCTCATCAACTCTCTCATCTTTTTTTCTCACATCCTCAACCTCATCCTCACTCAAATGCTCATTGACCAAAGGAGTATCATCATCACCACTCATCCTAACTCCCTGATGAGAATTCTTCTCTACCATGGGGTCACTCCCCACCACCTTTCCACTCCTAGTTGTCACGGCATACATGGGTTTACGGCTAACCCCTTGACTTGGAAGCGAAGAAGAAGAAGTAGATGCAATTTGAGCAATTTGAGTTTCTAGCATTTTCATGTGAGCTTTTGTTTGCTTTTTATCCTCTTCATGCATATTCATCAAAGAATAAAGTTTAGCCATTATTGGGTCATTTGGTGGAGCCTCAAGTTGAAGGGGGTATTGAGATGGAGGAAGTTGAGGTTGATGGAAACTCGAAGGCCTATTGGTTTGGGCATAATGAGTAGCATGTTGAGCCATATTGCCCCTGGTGCCTTTGTTGGAAACATTCCTTTGTGGATTGTTTCCCATGTAACTTTGATCACCAAAACCTTGGTTTCGATGGTCATAGTAACGGGAGTTGTACTATTGATTTTGATTACCATAGCCTCTTTGGTTAGGGTAGCCTCTTCTATTGTGATTGGAAGGGTCTCCCCCACCATGGAATTGGTTATCAAAACCATCACCACTTTGGTTCCAACCATGGTTCCAATTTTGATTCCAATTCCCCATTTGATTGGAGTTAGGCCTCATGTTCCCCATATTCCCCATGCGAATATTGTAATTCATAGCATTCATATGTTCAACATCATTGTCATTCTCATTCTCAAAGGAGGGGGATTTGGAAGCATCAAGAAACATGCAATCTCGTGAATCATGATCATAACTACCACAAACATTACAAAACACACAACTGGGAGGTATAAAATTTTATCTAGAATTATTAAAACTCGTACCTTGGCCTCCCTTGGTTGAAGAGGAGGTGTTACCTTGAACATCACGTATTTGATCTCTCTTTCATTAGGTCATCCATTTGCTTAGCCATTTTGGAGATTTGGGTAGTGAGATTGGTGATTGCATTGGCTTGCTCCAATGAGTAGACCGTGCCCTTGCTAGATGAGCCTTTCTATCACCCTCATACCAATCTTCATAATGTCTCGCGACCTCCTCTATGATATCTTCCACTTCATCCTCTCTCTTGTTCATGATAGGATCTCCGGCTCCGGCATCTAGACTTGTCCTTCCTTGAGGTGTGAGACCGCCATCAAAAGTGTGAATGAGTTGATACCTGGGGATCCCATGATGTAGACATTGGCGTTGAAGCTCTTTGTATCTTTCCCAAGCCGTACTCAAGGACTTCCCACCCTTTTGACGAAAGCCTTGAATCAAGGATCGAGCCTCGGCAGTTTTCTTATGATTGTAGAACCGTCTTAAGAATGGCGAAGCAACTTGGTCCCATGTAGTGAGAGAATTAGGAGGCACCTCCTTCTCTAGCCACTCCAAACCTTTTCCAATTGAAGAGAACGGGAACATCTTGAGTCGAATGCATTCTTGAGTCACTCCATTGACTTTTATCGTATCACAATACTTCTTAAATTCTTTGAGATGCTCATGAGGACTCTCAAACTTCCCACTCGAGAATTGCTTCCGTTCTATCAAGGCAATCAAATTGGGCTTGATTTTGAAGTTATTAGCTTGAGTAGTAGGAGCAAGAATCCCACTTTGTGCTCTAAAGGCTTCGGGAACCCCTAGACGCTTCAAAGGTGTATTTTCTCCCATCTTTTAAGAATGTTCTTCGTCGAAATTCAAATCGAAAAAGGGACTGAAATCCGAATGCAGTGAAGAAGAAGGGCTACAAATATCCTCTTCCTCCTCGCTAGAGGAAGTTGGAGGAGTTGGTGTCTTGTCCACCCCTTTTGAAGGTGTATGACTATTCGCTTTCTGACTTCTACTCCGCTCTCTTGCTTCTCTTCACAACAAAGTTAAGGATCGTTCTAACTCGAGGTCAATGGGAACCAAGGACCTTGAGCGAGTACGCCCCCGTGCATACAACAAAGCTAAGCAAAACATGAACACTAACAAGCAACAAGTAATAACTAAACAAACAAATAAAAATGAGCTAGTCTCAATAAGATAGTGAAACAGTAATGGAAGTCGTCTCCCCGGCAACGGCACCAATTTGATAATGGATATTTCAGTCGTCAAATAAAACACCCAACAATCAAACAATACTTATAACCCTAGGAAAACCAAGCACGAGTATTGGGCAAGCAAAGGGGTCAAACCACAGAGAGATCCTAAAACACTACAATCACCACCAACAACTAATTTAGCTCAATAACTTGGACAAAAGAACGAACACTAACGAATTATGATTAAACTAGAGAAAAAACAAAGTATAAAAACACTAAGGAAATGGATCAAGGCGAATCTTCACTCAAGCAATGATAGGGGGAAAGAAAGCGGAAATCAAGCAAACTAAGTTTCTCATGAAAGATGATTAGAAGCATAGCCTACTCATCGAGAGCAACTACTTTCTCAAACATACACAATCACGCTATCGTCACAATCATGCATAAAATGAGGTAAGTTAACATGAATCATCTAATGAGCATCATTCAATCAAACCAACAATCATAATCAAAGTCAACTCACCCAACCACAACCATTGATTGGCCACTTAATAGAAATAGTTGGTAAATCATGAAAAAATACTTTAATCACTAATTAACCCTTAATCCCAGTCCCCAACATGCTCAAGATTAGATTAATCCATCACCATTCCCTTAGCTAAGGGATTACTCACTAATCATGGTGGAAACTAAGTTAATCATACAACTAACAAGGAAAGACATAATTAACAAGCAAATGAAAGAAATAAAGCAAATAAATAAAGAGTTAAGGGAAAGAAATTACTAATAGAGCTTCATTAATCTTCAAAAAGGTTGATTACAAATCATCCAAGATCACAATATAAGTGTTTCTCTCTCTAAGTTTAAGCTAAGAAAACCCTATATTATGCTAATCTAATATCCTAATTAATTGCTAAAGAGAGAGACTTAAAACTATTTATACAAAGGCTTAAATGAGAGTAGCCAACATAGCATGCGCGCCCTCGCAAACTTACTGTATGCCCACAATAATCTAGGCATGAAAAGCGAAACACAGATATGCGCACCCGTGCAGGATAAATGCGTGCCCGCGCAGTTATGATGCTCGCCCGCGATCAAGGCGCGACCAAGGCACGCAGACTCCCTACCTTTATTCTGGAATTGGCTCTTCAACTCTGTACGCGCCCGCACAAAGTGGTTGCGCGCCAGCGCAGCTTGGATGCGAGCCCTCTCCTTGTTCGCGCATCAGGCGCGCAGAGTTCCTTCCTTGATGCTTCAATTTGTTCTCTGTATGCGCCCGCGCACAGTGACTGGAGCCCGCGCATACTGCCAGTGCGCGCCCTCTCTGTGGTCGTGCAGCACTTCATGAATCGAGCTTCCAAGCTTCTCTCCTTACTTCATAACCAAGGCTTACCTACGAAACATGAACAAAAAGAAACAAGGGTAGAAAAGAGCAAAAAGAAGGAGAAAACTAAGAAAGAAAAGAAAATAAAGAAAGGAAGCTAAAGACATAAAAGAGGGCATAAACAAGCTACAAGTATGGGGAAAACCCACCAAAATGGGCTCTAAATCATGGCATAAATGCCACTCATCATAGTGATATTTTTTTTTTAAACAGGGTAGTTATTTTCAAAAAGGACTATAAACTAGGTATTATTAAACAAAAAAAAAAAAAAAAAAAAACCGTACTATAAGGGTTAACACTTAACAGTCTTAACACCGCCATTAAACAAATGAAGAAAAACCAATTGGTTGTTGGTGCAGTGGTGATTGGGACTGCAGTTGGTAGGGAGGATCCGTGTTCGATCCCCCACAACAACAATTGGGAGGGGAATGGAACCTAACCACCCAGAACTGATTCCCGGATCTGGATTAGCCTATATGATGAACCGAGTGAGAAAAAAAAAATGAAGAAAAGAGAAAGAAAGGTCGTCAAAGAGTTGTTGGTTATAAACCTAGGGTAGTAGAATTAATTTTCAAATGACAATTGGACAGATATTAATTTTTAAAGGGTAGTCAGACCGATGGATATGGGTCACAAGGACACTTCTTTGATTGACCCTTAAATCAATAGATTAGGCTATAAGGTTATGTTCGAATTGATCCAACGTAATTTTGTTCCATTTTAGTATACTTCGTCCAGTTCTTTATTTAATTGCAATGTTGGGAATTTTACGTTTGCCAATGTATATATTCTATAACTTAAATATCTTTGAGTTGTATTGTAGTAAAAAGTATTTAAAAAAAAATGATATCATGAAAGCATATTTCGAGACGATGTTAACAAGATCTACATGACTATATTTTTTTTCAAACGTATAAATCACAACAGCCGATTAAAAGAAGTGTGAAAATAGTGTAAAATTTCAAACGTTGCTAATGATTATCAAGAAATATTAATCACAATAGACAATTAAAAGAAATATTTTGGGTTACATGAATCATGTTCCAGTTGAAATTCTCACATATAACCTAACTCATTTAGCTAATATCAAGATGTTTGTGTCAGCCCATTGGTTATCAAGTCGAGTGCCTAAATCAGCTTTATATTGGCTCTATCTTTCTTAGGTCAATGCAGATTCAAACTCAACAAAGGATAAATTCTAGGAAAATTTGTCAAAAAAAATCTTTTAAAAGCATCATTTTAGGAAAAAAAAAAAAAAAAAAAAAAAAAAAAAAAAAAACACCGATTTTTAGCATTTTATCAAGTCAACCCGATTTTAAAATTTTTTTGTCGGAGAAAACCTAATGTCTCTTCACTTAATTAGCCTCTAAAGTCTTTTAATTATCTTCTAACTCACTACACTATTTAATAATTAAATTAATTTATAAAGTAAAAATAAGAAAATAAGAACCAAACACCACCAACCCCACCACTATCCAACCACCCCCCTCCCCTGGCAGGCGGCAGCAGCCCCCTCTGCCGCCACTTTCTATCTCCTCCCTTTCACCTCTATCTCCCCTCCACCAAACTCCTCAACCTTAAATTCTGTCATTACCAAACCTCCAAACCCTTCTTCTCCACCACCATCAAATCCTTCTCTTATCCCGGCCTTTCCCAAGATGAAATCCAAAACAATTGCAATTTGCTTCTAAATCACTCTAGCATCACATACATACATAATCAAAGCCAAAACAAGCATCAATTGCAAACAAGATGCACAAAATTGAAAACCCCTAAATCGATTTTTCTAGGGTTTTCGGAAAAAATAATCGCAAAATTCAAGCAAATTATAAGATAATATCAAAGCAAAAATCCATTAATTGTGTGGGAGAACTTGAATTAAAGCTTCCAAGAAAATCCTTGCAAATTTTGGTAGTGAGTTTGAGAGTATTTGAGGGAGAAATGAGAGTAAGAAGTTCGAATGGAGGTGGTGGTCGCCGGTGGGGATAAGGGGAGGAAAGGGAGGGTCGGCCGACGGTGGAGGTAGGTCGACGGGGGTAGGGGGACTTGGCAGGGGAGGAGGGTAGGGGGCTACTGCTAGGGGAGGGGGAAGGGGAGAAGGTGGTTGGGAGGAGCAGTGGTGGTTTTTTTTTTTATAAATTAAAGTTAATTATTGAATAATTAGGTGGGTTAGAGGGTAATTAGAGGAAAATAGAGATTAATCAAGTAAATTAGATGGTAATTAAGTAAACAGGTTTCTTCTTACAAAAAACGAATGTGGTGTTTTTTATTTTTTTTACAAAATGATGCTTTTAAAAGATTTTTCTGACAAATTTTTCTAAATTCTATCACCGATGATCCAATTATAATCAACAAGGGCAAGGCTATATACATATAGAAATGAAATCCGAGAACCATGTTGAATGATAGAAACTAAGAACTAATCATAACCGTCGGATCAAGTCAATCGGACAACTCACACTTCACCCGCCTATTTCAATTCATTAAGGGTACCGTTGTATTTTTGCTTCCTTTAATGACTTTTAAACTCTGATCACATTTCTCATTTAACTTTCTCTCTCCTCATTTAACTTTCTCTCTCTTGTTCTCCTCTTGCATGATTTGCGTCTAAATTTTCATATGATTTTCTCATTCTTTTTTCCTCCATCCATTTTTGCATTTGATGTGTTTCTTCTTCCTTTCTTCACCATAGTTCCTCAATTTTTTACCCATATTTGTGGCGAACTAATATCTAGCAATTTATAACCAAGGTATGTTATTTTTTTCAAAATTATTTGTTAGGTTTCTTAAGATTTGAATTGAGTTTTCTTCATTCAATATGTTATTCTTAATTGGGTTTTCGATTGAAAGTATTTGATTCGTTTTTATTTATAATTTGTTCGACTGTGGTTTTCAATATTTCATTTGATTGAGCTAGGGTTTCGTGTTTAATTTGTATGATACTTTCAATCTAATGCAATGTAGTTGATTACTGTTATTTTTTGTATGATAATGTATGATGACCTCCAAAATTTTTAGTTTATTAGGGTTTTAATCTAGAATTTTCATTACTTGTTTTTTTATATTCAATTTCACAAAATAGATATAATAAAGTTGAAATATGTATAGATTGTAATTAGTTTTTCTCATTAATTTCAGACTTATAAGTTTATGTTTATTATTTTAGCTTATGTGTGATAACTAAATTCGGACTAAGTCACGGTATATTAGCTTTAATAATTTACTTTTGAGCTTATATTATTTACTTTTGAGTTGATGATAATGATTGAGTTTGATATTTAATTTGGTAGTGTGGCGTTGATGTTAATGGCCGTTGTAAAGTTGTGGGACTACTGTCTGGTAGAAGCAGCAAATGTATTGCAAATTTTGGTATTTGTTGATTGATTACTAAGAATTGGATGAGTGTTTCATTGCAGCTATATGGGACTATGGGTTAGATTGTCATAATGATGGCTTTATTGTTGTTGCACACTCAGGTCACTCAAGATTTCAAGAAGGCCTTGGAGTATAGGATTTCAGTATGTTTGGGTGTGGATTGGAGTATAGGATTTGTTTAAATGAGTTGAAATCAACATATGGATTCACATTATGTAGGGAGCAAATGAGCAATGCTCGTTACAAGACAATATTGCTAGAAGTTCAGGTTGAAGGGTGAAAAATGGTGACAATTAAATAAAATTATAATGATATTAAGTGATAGGTGGGGGTTTACTTTATTTGAACCAGTACACCAATGATAGAGTATGTAAATTCAAGCAAAAGAGAGACAAAGAAAAGATGTGAAACTGATTTATGATTGATATATGCATGAATGGGGCCGTATATACAAATAAGCATAAGTTACAATCACTACATATTTCATGAAATAATGATTACATTGCATGTATGTACAGTAGAATTTAGATATCATACAAAGCTGGTATTTCTTGTGATTTAGATAGCAGCACTGTGATAGTAGATTTTAAACCTTCCATTTTCATCCCTTTCACTATCTATTCATTCGTTGGTGCTTCAAATTCTCCATTTTTCATCTCTGATTGTCAACAGGAGCAAATAGACACTCACTTTCAGGGATCGAAGGGTGCAAAATAGAGCAGTTTAGGTTCAGTGACGTGGTTATTTGTGAAACCCCTTAGAGGAGGGAATCAAGATACAACTATTTGTTTCTGTATTGAAATTCAGTACAATGATTATTGACATTCTGATTGGTATTATATTGTAATGATCCAAAATCCCCAATAATTGTACATATACTTTATATCATTCTTTTATTTACTTATAAGAACTTTTTATTCACTTTTAATTTACTTTCTTTACTAAGAATATTTACTATACACTAGCCTACTAGCTCAACAGATAGAGCATTGTGCAAATGCACAAAAAATGTGGATTCGAATTCCACGTAGGTTTATTTATCATATGAAACTATTTTATTACTTATTAATTATGTGAATTTCATTAGTTTTATACCTAAAAAACTTTTATCTACTTTTTGCATTTATACTATTCACTTTTTATTTGAAACCCTTTAGTTTTAATCTCGTATGCTTGCTTCGATCTTATTTAATTACTACTATTTGGCTTTTCTTATATTGTTATGAAAGTTAATGACTTGGTTTCAATGTTCACTTATCATGTTCAATGAATTCATTATACATATACTGTTGAATTTTTTATTTTTTTTTACATTTTTTTGTTTGGTTTTTGTATTATTCTATTCACTTTTTGTTGAAAACCTTTACTTTTAATCTCATATGCTTCTTTTTTAATTATTTTTTGATTTTCGTATAATAGGATATTATATTGACCCACATCTTATATCATTATGAAAGTCAATTACTGTTTCAATGTTCATTTACCATGTTCAATGATTTCATTATACATATACTCTTGAAATTTTTAATTTACTTTTTGTATTGTTTTACTTACCTTTAATTTAAAAACCTTTACTTTTAAGCTCCATGTACTTTTTTTCCTTATAGCTCGTAATAGTCATTACTTTAATGTCTCAAGTGTCCGTATTTAATGACTTGGAGTTTTTAAGTGTCCAAAGTATTAATCATTAAAGCCAAATAATTGTTCGTATACCATTGCGCTAATTGACATTACTTTAACAATTATTTTGATTTACTTTTGAGATATTTTATATAACTTTAGAGTGTTTTATGTTTACTATTAAAAACAACCTACGTAGGAATCGAAACTACACCTTTATTCATCCACATAGTATTCTACCACTTGAGCTAATGGATTTACTTTAAAATCTTTTTTATTCACTTTAATTTGTTTTTTATTTACTTTTAGAGACCACGGATATAAATTCTATCTTTCAACCATTAGAAGAGTTCCCTAGACCATTATAAAAATCATAGTTCCACATGGTTAAAAGACCTCAAAGCCAGATAGCCTTCCCTATTCATTTCATACATACTTCCTCACAACCACAACAAAAGTGTATGCCTTGATGACCATAAAATTACACAAAACCTCTCAAAACTAAATTTAATTTACTTTTAGGGATATTAAGTTTACTTTTACACAATATTAGTTTACTTTCCAAGAAAAAAAAAAAAACCGATGATGTGCTATTTGTCCATCCCTTATTGAACCAAACTCAACATAATAATCATCCATGTAGTATATATATGTATGTAGATCATATTTTTTTTAAAAAGATAAAGAACAACATATACACAAATTCTACTAAATAATCAAAAAGCAGCTATCTATTTAATATTATAGCTGTAGTTTGCAGGTCATGATGCAGTGATCTTATTTGCCCAAACCATGTTCTGCAAGACTTGTGGTATACTGATTATGTGCTACATACACCTGCAGACTAGTTTGATAGAACCTAATAACTTAATTTTGTTAAGTTATAGTTTCTAGTATGTGAATCCCAGCTTCCAATTTCAAGAGACAAAGACCATGTGTGAAACTGACAGATTCATCAAATTGCATATACATCAATTATTAGTCCTTATTGATAGTGAAGGATTTAATGCTTCGAGAAACACAAATCAACTATAAGTCCACACTTTATTTCATATTTAACTAAAAAATTCTTTGAACAATTGATCCACTTTTGTCTGGTGGCATTTCCAATCACACATTCACACGAGATCAATGTAAACAACATAATTCATAGCTTATAAATGGATTATCAAATACCTTAAAAGATCTCAAAACCAATAATGAAATTGATGCACAAAAGACAGAAAAATTCGGGATGAAAATCTGATTAGTACCTGATTGTGAGCTTGAATTGGCAGATTGAGTGGGAATTGAGCGTCGTAGAAGAAATTTTTCAACAAATCCCCAACTTTAAGCATTGGAATCTTCAATAAAATCGTCCGAAACAAAAATCGAAGCTAGAAAAAATTATAAAATGTCAGGAATTTTGATTTTGCCAAGAATTTAAGTGTAATTGCAGCTATATATTAAAAAATATACCTAATTTAAGGACAAATTTGCTGGAATTCGAAGAAAGTTGAAGAATTAAGAGTTCATCGTCGATTTTTTGCGGAGAAATGGTCAATTATTATGATTTGAGCGAGCTATTAATTAGTTCGAACAACTTCGTCCAAAATTGATAAAAAAAAAACGATAAAATTACTCAAAAAATCAGATAAAATTCAATAATATTATCTGATTTGATTATCGTTGGAAAAAAAAACCTAAAAATTAATTTTTACCAAATTGACAATTCTTACCTCAATTATTGAGAAATTTTGCAACGAATCCAGAAAATTATTGAAACAATATGTAAATTGTAGCAAATTCCATATAATCAAGTTGTTGATTGAGGTGAGGAAGCATGAAAATAATTGAGGAGAACAAAAATAGCGTCCGTGAGAAGGAGAGAGAAACGCACAGGCAGAGAGAAAATCGCGGAGGAGAGAGAGAGCGAGGAGAGAGAATTTGTGATTTAATTTAATTTGTCGGAAAGAATCCCAGCCGTTGATCTAGCGCGTACACCTCATTTGTTCCGACGGCTGTGATTAGTTCCTAGATGCTCAATGGGAATACATGAACCGTACCATCATGTGTCATGAGGCAGATGATGTGGTGTTATGTCATACGTCATTAAACAAAAATAATAAATTGTAGTATTAATGTTCGAACTCATGATCTCAGCTCATTATACTTCAATGTCAAATACTACTTCAATAGCACATCTTATGTCTACCATGCAATGTTTTGTTAAAAAGAGTTAATCATAGTTATAAACTTGAAGATTTAATGATTAATAAAATAAAATAAAAAATAAAAAATCTAATTTCTTTTATTTGCTCATACATAAAATAATTCCACTAGGACAAATACCCAAAAAATGGGACTGAATAAGCAACAAGGAGGGACTGAATAGGAACTACGGAGGGATTCAATGCAATGCATACTCTCTTGCAAATAGAGCGTTCTCTCAAATATTGTCATCGAGAACAAGAATTAAAATCGCTCATACACATCATTCATCAATTACAGTCCCTCATATGCGAGACATCAGGCGTCAGGCAACATTGATCAATGCATTGAACACTACGCAACATGCATTCAAGAGCAAGCAACGAAACAAAAACGAATAGTCAACATGCAACCACAATGGCAGGGGACTCATTCATCAACATCATCTAAAGGCAACATCAGCATAAACTACCAACAAAGGCAACATGAGCATTAACTACCAACGAAGGCAACACCAGCATAATCTACCAACAACATCAACATATTAAACATAACCAACCAACAATAGCAACACCAACATAATCCAATCATAACAACAACCATAGATTAATCTACCACCCTGCCAGCAACACATCACCAATCAACCCAGTACATAACAAAAAATAAAAAATAAAAAATAAAAAAAAAACGAGAATTTAAGGATCATAAATTGTTACTCTTAGGCCAAATTCCATTTGCTTACTCTCAGGTCTTAGTGGGAAGGCCAAATTTCATTCGCTTACTCTCAGGCGCAGCATCAGATTCACCAAGGGGGGGACTCATTTTTTCATCATCATCGTAAATTGGTGTTATCTTAGCACCAATCCTATACATTCTTCTCATTTGTGCAGTAGAGACCCTAGGAATCATCTTAGGATAGTGGTAAGGTCTGGATCGGGTAAGGGACTGTGATTTGGGTTTTTTAGCACGACCCAACCCAGATCTTGCACCCATCTCAGAAATAGATCCGAGTCCTTTTGAAGGATCCGAACTCGCACCAGCATTGTTCTCAGAAAGAGAAGTAAGCTGTTGTGAAGAACAACCCGACCCAGACATTCCAGCAACCTTAACAGGTTCGGATTTCACCTCCCCTTCCCCAACTTTCGAGGCAACCGCATTTAATTTCTGACCGGCTTCCTCATCTTCAATAGATTTGAGTAATTTACCAATCGCAGCGAAGGTTCGATGGCTGAAAATTTCGCCACCTTTGCCCGACATATAGAACAAATTAGGCCAGGAAGCCCATTCTTCAAAAGCTTCGACGAGAGCAACAATGAAACCCTACTCAATTTCATCGTCAGTCGCGAATAGGGTTTGTGTAGTGGAGATAGATCCATTCTAGGAGGAGGAAGAGAGGAGAAAAAAGGAGGCAAGATCCATTCAAGAGGAGAGAGAACGACCCTACATCGACTGTTCAAGGAGGAAGAGAGGAGAGAGAAAGACCCAGATAAGGAAGATGAAGAAACTTCAAGAACTAGGGTTTCAATTCATTAGATCTGATGGATTGTTGCTGTAATCAAGGGATTTAATTTGGTAGGTGGGAGAATAATAAGTGGGCTTATTATGTTATAGTAATAGGGGTAAAAAAGTAATTGTATAAGGAAAAATTTGCCAAACAAGGAATTGATGCAATAAATAGGAAACTTCCTAAACTAGTAAGTGATGCGATAAAAAAAGAACGGATGAAGTATTTTATTGAGTTGGGTACTATCATCACCACAACCACAGGAAGCTCGAGACACCATATCCACCACCATCATCGTAGCCACCACAGCCACCACCATCGTCCCTGCAGCACCATTTCTCCATCGAAACACATCACTACAGCCCCTACCTCTCCTTCTTCCCCTGTCAACCTCTTCTTCTTCGTCCTTTCTCAAGCCAACAAAGCCGCTTTGCGGCGGAACAAAATGAAACCCTAATAACAAAAAGTGTTAAATAGGGCCATATCAACCCCTTAGAGAAAGCATCTTCTTCACTCCAGCAATTTTAACCACCTTAAGTGGTAGAAATGGAAGAGGCGTTGATGGAGGAGCAAAAATGGAGGAAGTAATGGGGAAGATGAAGAAATCAATGAAATTAATTACCAAAAGTAAATCAGATGACATGGAGAACTAGGAGCGATTAGCGACCGAGGATAGCTCCGGCAACACAATTTCGTCCGCCGTCGATACTCCGGCAACACGATTCCGTCCGCTGTCGATACTCCGACATTACTTTTGGTGGCGAAAGTTAACTCCACTTTCTTCAATTAAATCATGGACCGACTTTTTTGCCTTCTACTTAGACAGGCAAAATGACAACCGCGCCCCTTGAGTAACACAAACTTGAGTAACTTGTATTGACCCAAAAATTAATCTCATTTTATTTATTTGCTCATACTTAAAACCTATAGCTATTGCTATTTTAAATATATAATTGAAAATATGCATTAAACTTATTAAAAGGGTTATTTTTTCTATAACAATTGAAGAACGAAATAAACAAATAATTTTAGGATACTAGATATTGGATAATATATTTTGATGTTCATTAATGATTATACTAATATAATTTAAATAATAAGAGTACTAAAGTAAATGTAACTACATTAATCTATATTTATATTTCATCACATAATTTTTATTATAAAAGCTCATTTTCAATATACATATAATGACCCAAGGCATTGCCTTGACCAAAAACTACTCCCTCCTGTTTAAATAAATCAAACGTTTTGACTTTCACGGAGTTTTAGAATAGTTAGTTGAATTTATTAAAATATAGGTAGTGGGGTATAAGTTTGAGGAGAGAGAAGAAATTAAGGGGTTTTGTGGGACCAAAAATTAGAAAGAATATTATTAAAAAATAGAGAGAAGTTACTAAAAAGAAAACGTTTCATTTATTTAAACACGCCTGGAAAAGAAAAACAATTCATTGATTTAAACACGGAGTAGTCATTCTCCTCAAAAGTGTTCTTCACGCATGATACTTTGATAGCAAAAAGGATGAATTGTTATTTACCAATTTGGCTTTGAGATTATCTCACTGGGTATTCAGTTATTCACCAAGTCACTTCCATCAAAGAAACTTACCAAATTTAGGAAAATTTGATAATTATCACATTATAAATTACATTTTAGTAATAACCACCAACAATTATTTTTTTTTTTTTATTTTACCACCAACAATTGTTCAAAACCTTAAATTTTACCACCAGTTTGCCAAAATGCCCTTACATGACGTCATTCCCTTCAATTTCCTTCATTTTTTCCATTTTATCTCGATTCCCCTTCAATGATAACCATAATTTTGTTAATAATAACATGAATTTCATGAAATTTGAGTTAATTTCCCCAAATGCTTCACTATAATCAAATTTCCAATTTGATTCAAAATCCTAATTTCATTTCACAACCCATGGGGGGTAAGTTTCCAAAAGCATAAAACAACGATACATATATTGAAGTTTGGAGAATGGCTTTTAAAACCCTAATGTTTGTTTTCTCTTTTCGATTTTAAGCTTTTACCCAAATTTGAGATAAAGTAAGAATAAAAAAAGGAAAAATCGTGAGAATAAGAATAAAAAAGAACAAGGAAATATAAGGGATGGGACCCAAAGTAGCGTCAAGCAAGAGGTTTGGGTAAAAAAGTGGTAAATTTTGACATTTTGGAAAATTTTTGCTGATAAAATAAAATAAAATATAAATAATTGTTGGTGATAATTAATTAATTACTAAAATGTGAACTATAGTAGGTGATTATTATCAAATTTCCCCAAATTTATGTACAAATTAAGATGTCATTTTCAAGACATGTTAACTTAAAGGGGGTATTGTATTTAAAGTATAATATATGCACTGAATTCATTGTTCCTTTGAAAAGTTTTTACCCCAAAGAGGTTTTCCTATGTAGTATTAAGGTTTTTGTTACAATTTCGATTACCCAGCCAAAGACAACCAGGCCGAGGCTCTACACAGCCCACAACCAACTTAAAATCCCTATCAGAGCAACAAATCTTGCCACAAAACAAAAAAATTTAGAGTTCATCAAGTATATATAGTCAGTACAAAAACAGTTTGTATTTCCAGTTTATTTTAGAATCAATTGATTTCCAGTTTGTATTTCCAAACAGTGAGCAACAGCATAGCGTCTGAATCAATTTTAGCAGGAATCTGCACTTAGCAGCTCCCTGCCCCATATATGGTTATCCAATGAAATAATTATTGGAGTTCATTTTCAAATCCAATCAAAATATGGCTATTCTCTTGCATTTGCAGGCCACCCTACAAAACTATTTTCTCGCACTATGTTTTACAAATTTCCTTCCTAACCTAGTAAGAGCAACAACAAAATCCAGCAAGAAAAATGTTTCTTTTGAGTATTTCAATCAGCCCCTCAGTAATCCATGCCGCCCATACCACCCATACCGCCCATTGCAGGAGCTGCATCCTTCTCATCTTTGGGTGCCTCGACAATGACAGCCTCTGTTGTTGTCATCAAGGATGACACACTGCATAAAAGCAAATAATTGAATAACCTCATAAGTATTTGCATTTATAGATATTACGTAAGTTACACTTGTAATTCACTGAAGAATATGAAAACACCAACAAACAAAATATTACCTAGCAGCATCAGACAAAGCAGTCCTAATAACCTTCAATGGATCAATAATTCCAGATTTGACCATATCTACATATTGGCCTGTTCAATCTTACAAGTTAGTATATACAGTTGTTTCCCATTCATCAACTTTAAATTTCAGGAGCATGTATGTTGCTTGATACCTTTAGCAGCGTCATAACCAAGATCCTCGTTGTCCTGCTCTAATAGCTTGCCAACGATAAGAGCTCCCTCCACACCAGCGTTTGAAGCGATGGTGTAAACAGGGGTCTGCAATGATAAATGGAATTATATAGGATGATACTGATTTAAATTAAACATATGTAAGATAACACATGTAAGAGAAGCATCATGTTGATCTCGGAGATGAACACTTAAAGGAAATCAATAAAATCGAAAAACATATGCAGTAGAATCGACATAATCTAATCAATATTGATAATGTTTATAGAATCTAATCTGTCAGAGAATATAATATATTATACGTATAAAGTCAAAGTCGCTATTAATACAATAACAAAATCTGGTACTTCAAATGTTTATCTAGGAGAATAACTAGATGTTTTTCCAGATACAAAATCAAGAGCTTCAAATATCAATAAGCACTTGTGATATGCAAATATCTCAAAGCTTCACAAGTGACTCAGCCACTCAGGCATCTAAAGCATTTATATTAGTAATTTAGTATAGATTTTTCTGAATAAAAGATACAGAGAATAGAGTTACCTTAAGTGCAGCTTGGATGATCTGTACTCCAATCTTTTGATCGTAGTTAGCGGTCTGTAGCTTGTCCAATTCCTTTGAAGCATAAAGAAGTGCTACACCACCACCGGGTACAATACCTTCTGCAACAGCAGCTTTAGTGGCATTTAGAGCATCTGTAACTCTATCCTTCTTTTCACCAACCTCAGCTTCACTAGCTCCTCCAATCTAGAAATAGCCATGACAAGAACATCATATTTAAGAGACCAAACAGAACAGGCAGAGCCAAGTTTTCTAATTTAACAAACAACTAATTGTAAGAACCCGAATCAAGACAAACCTTCAAAACAGCAACTCCACCAGATAGCTTAGCAAGCCTCTCCTCTAACTTCTCCTTGTCATAATCGGATGTGCTTAGTTCAATACCAGACCTGATCTGTATCCACAAATAGCAAGAACAGTAAATTTTTTACTTAAATAAAACCAATGGCTAATTTTATTACCAAAAAAATAACAATACATAAAATCAAATAAAATGAAAGAACATGTACAGAAGAATCTACACATACCAGTTCACATCTTTCCTCAATGTCCTTTTTATCACCCGCACCATCAAGAATCACAGTGTCATCCTTTGAGACAGTGATCTAGAAAAAACACCAATTAAATATTATATATCATGACAATGCAAAACATGAGATGAACTCATCAGCCAAGCATATAATTATACTAGAAGTTTACCTTTTTGCATGAACCAAGCATATCAATATCAAGTTTTTCCATATTCATACCAAGGTCTTCAGTTATAACCTACACAACAAAGGCCACATTATTAACCCAGACACTCCATGAACAATGAGACTTCAAACTTCAGCCAATAGAATGAGCCTCTTACCGTTCCACCGGTAAGGGTTGCAAGATCCTGCAAATTGGCTTTCCTATTCTCTCCAAAACCAGGGGCTTTAACAGCACAGATCTACAAAGACGGGAAAAATATTACATTATAATATCAACAATCACAAATAAATACCATTATGAAACAAGGAATACAAATCATAGCTATCTATGAGATTTTAGAAGAAAACCTTAAGTCCAGCTCGGATCTTGTTCAATATAAGAGTTGCCAAGGCCTCGCTGTCAATATCTTCGGCGACAATCAACAACGGCTTTTGTCTCTGTTTTAAGAAGACAGGTCAGTTAAAACAACCATGAAAAGTGCATACAGAATACAGATAAAAGAAATGTATGGATGATGAATTTTATACCTTCAACGCCATTTCTAGAGCTTTCACAACAGCATTGACACTGCCAATTTTCTTCTCATGGATCAAAATAAGTGGATCATCCAATTCCTGGAGGCATTAGGCATACAATAACACAACAAATAAGACGGCTTGTAATGCAAGACCTCAAAAGGAGACCAATGAATTACACAAATGAAGAGCTTAAATGAGAAGAATGCTTACACATTTTTGGGTTTTTTGGTTGGTAATAAAGTAGGGAGAAATGTAACCCCTGTCAAGCTTCATGCCCTCAACAACTTCAAGTTCATTAAACAATGTCTTGCCATCCTAGAATTGAAACATTATCATAAGTTTCCCAGCTTAGAAAATCATATAAAGTGGCACTTCGGAGATTGTAATGCAAATACTTACTACTTCACTAGTATAGCACAGGTATACACGAGGCAGACACCATAAAGAAAGCAACTTACTTGGATTGTGATAACTCCTTCCTTGCCAACCTTCTCCATCGCCTTTGCGATCATCTCACCAATTTCTCTGTCCCCATTAGCTGAAATAGTACCGACCTATAAAAATTTAAGGTGATGAAAAGTAAGATTAAACACCCCATAGTTAGCATATCTGGTCACAAGTACTAAATATTACAAACCTGTGCAATCTCTTCCGAGGTGCTGATCATCCTTGCTCTACTTTTCAGGTAAGTTACAACAGCATCGACTGCCAAAGTCATACCTCTTCTAAGGTCCATCGCATTCATTCCTACTCCAACTGACCTTACTCCCTCAATCAATATTGCTCGGGTAAGAACTGTAGCACAGGTTGTTCCTACAATGCCGCAAAAGGGCAGGAATAAAAAGATCAAATCAATATGTATATTATATTTTCCGATTACTCCAACACATTTTTCAAAACCCAACTTCCAGAAAATTGATAACCAAGAGCTAAAACGAATCCGCATCATCATTCAGATTAACCACTAATAAAGAGTAGGATCAAAGCAAAAACTTGATCACTGAAGAGAATTAACCCCTTTGCCCTCAAAGCAGCAAATTATCAGAATGCAATTTCACAATGCCACTACATTCTAGAAACTTTACACAACAAACAACAGGATTACAACTTCAGACCTGACAAAACGACACGAAATGAAACAATGCAAACAGCATACTTCAATCACACCAAATACAAAGAAACCAAAACATCAAAACTTGCTAGCAACAAAAACAGATTAACTCATATATATAAATCTGTAATTCGAAAGTTTAAAAATTTACCATCCCCAGCAACATCATTGGTAGAGTTGGCAACTTGTTTAACAAGACTAGCACCCAAGTTCTTGTATCTGTCCTTGAATTCGATACTTTTCGCAACCGTTACACCATCTTTTGTCACTTTAGGAGCACCAAAACTTTGCTCAATTATAACATTACGCCCCTGAAAACCCACCAAATTAACCATCAACATTCAATTGGTTCGTCACCACAATAAACCCCAACAATCAAAACCTCCCAATCACAATCAAAACATCCCAACTAACAATCAAATCTCTAAACAAAAAAATACCCAATTACAGCTAATTAGCAGATCTAAACCAATATCAATGACATAAAAAAACAAACTTTATGCAAAACCCAATTCAAAAAAGCTTACCCTAGGTCCCATGGTAACTCTAACAGCATCAGCAAGCTCTTCAATACCTCTAAGCATAGATTTACGAGCATCCTCACCAAATCTTACTTCTTTAGCTGCATAATTTCTGCTCCAATTCAACCTACCACCAATCTGTAAAACCCACAAACATAACAAATTAACAATCAAAACCCAGAAAAATTTCAATCTGAAATCACATTAAAATCAATCAAATCAGAGAATGTGGAATGCAGAAGTCAAGAGGACTTACAGCACGGGTAGTGCTGTTAGCGCGAGCACGAGAGGCGAGAGCGGCGGCTGCGCGAAACATGATGAAATCAACGGCGGAGGAGAGAGAGAGATTGGAGAAGAAGATACTAGAATGAAGTAGTGTTTGAGAGAATGAACAAGAGAAGGTTGTGAGATGTGCTCAGATTTTATAAATGTTGAAGGAACACTCTAGAAAGAGCAGGGTTTAGGGTTTTACATATTACAACACCTCTTTAAAAACAAATACGAACTAATTTTTTTATTCTTTTTTAATTAATCTTTTGGGAAGATTAAAGTCTTTTTAGATTGATTATCTTTTGATTAGGGTGTGTCATGTGTGTTTCCATGCTAATTAGATGTATGAATTACAATAATCAAAGAGATGGTTGATTTTATTTTAGGGTTATATACATGTTTTTACACTGTTTTTAAGATAATTAGTGTCTGTCCTGAAAGGTTGGAACGGTAGAAGAATTTAAAGGTTATTGGTTTTCTTTATTATTGAACTTTTTTCGGTATGATTGTCGTCATGTACTTCTCCTTCTTATTCATCACTCGGGAACAAAACAAAAAGAAAAGAGGTTTAAATGTCATGATATAATATAAATAAAATTTAATTGTCTCAATGTTACCTAACTTTCCTCCGTATTTTTTCCGCCACATTTTTGTTCTTCTCCCTCATATTCATCACACCAGAACAAAACAAAATAGAGAAAGATCTTAATGTCATGTCATACACAGTGCAAAATATCAAAATTTAAAGTTTCTACCAAGACACAATATTAATCTACCATATATAGGCTAATAATGATGTAGATTTATCATTTGAATTTTAATTATTAAGCATCACATTATCCGCAATAGGATGTGTAAGAGATTTAAATTGTATCTTTTCTACGCGGCAAAGCTTTTTTTTTCAAAAATATAAATAAAATACTACATTTCAACTACATCCCGATTAACACTACAAAGCTTTTTTTTTCAAAAACAAAATCAAAATACTACATTTCAACTACACCCTGATTAACACTACGATAAAAAAGCCATTATAACCACTAATATTTGTAACTACCCTAATATTAAATCGCAAAAAATATTTGGGTAGTTAAAAATTAGGGGAATTTGGAATGAAAAGTTATAGAAGTTTTATAAACTACAATTTCGAATAAGACAAATTAGGGGAGTTGTGCTCGGCTGCTACGCATGACTCCTATAGTTGTCTACGGCATTTGAGCACAACTTTCTTTGCTGTGCGTTCTCCTTGTCTTGGAATCCCTAAAACCTTAACTCTAGATCCCTACACTTATAAATAGGGGGTCTTGGTTAGAATTCAAGAGACACGAAAAATTAGAAAATCAGCCACGAAATTTTGAAAACCTTAATCTTTCATACTCTCAAACTACTTTTCCCCTCTTTGCCAAAAACTTTCTAACCCTAATTAGTTCCTTTGAAGTCGTTGGAGGTTAAGGAGTAAGAGAAAGACCATTAACATGCAAGACAAATATCTAGCAAAAGGAGAACGATTAGTTTCATGAGCACTTAGTTAAATCACTTTTATTTTTGTTTAAATAACTTTAATAATAAATAATTAGTGTTATTTTTCCACTTGAAAGAATGATAATTGATTTATTCATATAGCACTCTTTCGTTAATTTAAGACTAGAACTTGAAATTTAATTATTATTTTATCACATTAGAGGTCTAGTGGATCCTATTTTATTTTGTTCTTTTTCACAAATTTGAATTTTTTTTTTTTAAAAAAAAAAAAAAAAAAAAAAACATTCGTTGCAGTGTAGAATTTTTGTGATCTTTGTTTGTAATTAAGATCAACTAACTTAGTTGTTAGGTATCACGTTACGTATATTTTCCATAGCAATGAAATTGTAAATAAGAAGTTTTAGTGGAGGTTGTTTTAGGGCTAGGATGATCGCTTCAAAAGAATGACATTCTAGTGCCCTAAACTCACTTCCAAATCAATCTCTGGTTTAATAGACATTTGCTTCGTACTTATCCCTTGCACACTACTTAGGAGAAAGGTACAAATAGGATTTATGAGTTTTTGCTAAAAATTAATTAGTGACTCTCTACATAGTACAAATAATAAAGTGAATGCTTGTCTTCTCGAACCTATGTCTCCCAATTTGTCGGGAATTCGAATCTTATGCATTTAACAAAATGCACAAGCCCCAAACTTACAAAGGGCTCAGGTACCGAGGAAACGAGATCCCCCACGATAGGCCACCCCCTCACAATTATAAGCATGGTAGGTTTTAATTACTAAAATGTATAGTCCGGTGCAGAAGTTGAAGAGTGTGAAGAATGTTATGATAGAGTTGAATAAGATTGGGTTTCGAATGTTGAAGTGAGATTTAGAGAGGTTGTTGTTATGCTAGAGCAGTCCCTATCTCATCTTCGTAAGCATCCTAGAGATGTAGAGGCAATTGTAGCTGAATCTAGAGCCAAGACAGAATATTGTGAAGCTCAAGAGCTGCATTTATCCTATCTTAAACAGAAAGCCAAGGCTGCTTGGATTATTCAAGGGCCCAACTGGAAGTAAAACCTCGACCCTCCAAGGGATTTCAAACCAAATCAATCCACTATAATAGGACAACACACCTAGTTACAACTTATTACTCACAGACTTTTACTCACAAATTCTAGAATGAACTGCTACTCTGTAGAACCCTATTCTACCCAACTTAAGTCTCAAACTTAAGTTCATTCAACACTCCTGGAGTACTCAAAACTTAGCTTCAACCTTAAAGCCTACAAACTGTATGCAATATGCTAATCACTCACCCAATACCAAAACAATACCAACGTTTGACTCTAATATGTGATTGGAAAGCTACACATGAAATCCGAAACTAATATGACAAAGTTTAGACTTGACAAACTTACTCTTAAGCACTCTTCAGATTTTTTCACGCATAAACGCACAAGTTTTTTCAATTATGAACACTTCTTTATATACATAAACTTATGTATGTAAAGTAGGGTTTTCGAAAGATAGAAAATATAAAAATGTCGTTTATCAAAACCCTTTGTAAAATAAATCTTTTGAAGAAAAACTTTTGAAAAACTTAACAAAGATATAATTTAGAAAAAAATTGTTATTTTGCAAAACCAAATTTTATAAAATAAAAATATCTCATAGATCTTTTCCTAAATATAAAACATATCTTTTATAAAACTTTCCACATTTAAAAGCTTGCCAAGCTTTGCCACACTTCTAATAAATTTCATGCATAAACTACCAAACATATTTACAACAATCCTAGAAAAAATAAACTTAACAAAAACCTTAATAATAAGACTTTTAGTCTATTGTCGGATTGTCTCCTCAATCGTTGCATTGTATGAATACTTGGGCTCTACGCAGACCAGGACTGAGTTCCTGCTGTCTTCAACACTCCAGCTCCTTGCTGGAACTCACAGACCAAGTTCTAATGGAACTTGTTGTCTTCAACGCAGTCCAAGCTAGTCTTCTTAGTTTGCTGTCAAGCTCCTTTTGAGGAACTTCTCTTCGTGCTCCTGTTAGGGATCACTTCTAGTTCCAATGAGGACCTCTTCTTCTATTCTTTTTATCTTTCCTTTAATTCTCCTTGGATCTTCATAGAGAGGCTACTCTTCCACTTCAAAAGTCAACTTTACTTGTTCTAATTCAACACTTAGAGAAATCGCATTAGTTGAAGTTTGTTTTTTTTACTCATCATCATCAAAACTCTTAAGCTTCAACACATAGCACTTTGAGGAAGACACAGATGCAGAATTGTATTTACTCTATCAAGAGTGCTGATGGAAACTGGGTAGATAATCCTCAGGAGGTTCTTGGTGCTTTCTTGGAATTTTATGACAGGTTACTTGGAACTGCAGCTAGGAGTAGAACTGAGGTTAATGCAGCAGTTGTAAGGAAGGGTCAGGTATTATCTCAGGCCATGAGTGATACTTTAAGCCTCCCTTATACAAAGGAAGAAATAAAAAAAAAGAAGCTATGTTTATCATAGATGGGAATAAAGCCCCGGGTCTAGATGGAACATTGTAGGTGAGGATGTTTGTGAAGCTGTGCTTGACTTTTTTCAGAGTCATAAACTCTTGAGAGAGGTCAATAGTAATTATATTACTTTGGTGCCTAAAAACAAATGTCCTAGAAGTGTGGTTGACTTTCAACGACCTATCTCTTGTTGTAATGTGGTGTATAAATGCATCTCCAAGGTGTTGTGTGGGAGATTGAGAAATGTGCTTCCTCATGTTATTGCAGAAAATCGAAGTTCGTTTGTTCATAGCAGGTTTATTATTCACAATATCATGGTGTGCCAGGATCTAGTGAGGCATTACAGCTGATTAAAAAGCAGCTTCCTGAGTTCTAATTAAGCTAGATCTCTAAAAGGCATATGACATTGTTGAATGGAGTTTTATTGAAGAAATGTTGATAGCTTTGAATCTCCCAAGGGGTTTTATTGATCTAGTTATGATATGTGTGAGAACTCTTAAATTCTCACTCATGATTAATGGATCTCTGCATGGTTTTTTTTTTTTTTTTTTTTTTTTTTTTTTTACTTTTAAAAGAGGTTTGAGGCGACAAGGTGACCCACTTTCTCCTCTTCTCTTTGTATTATGCATTGAATATCTTTCCAAAATTTTGAAGTTTGTGAGTAAAACAAAGGAGTTTGGTTATCACCCAAGGTGCAAGGCTGCTGGCTTGACACATTTGTGTTTTACTGATGATTTGATTCTGTATTGTAAGGGTGAGCTGAAGTCTGTTAAAAGACTCATGAAAGATTTTGAGGTGTTTTATAAGGTCACTAGTCTGGAAGCTAGCCTTAAAAAACCTCAAAATATTGCACTGGCATGATTGAAGATAGTGTTCAGGAAGTACTGAATTTCACTGGTTTTGTCAAAGGTGAGATGCCTATGGATCAGATTCGGATCAGGTGGAGCTTCACCCGCATCCATCCATTATTCTAATCGCTCCATCCACATCCATCCGTCACCTGCTTCACCCATCATCCATATCCGTCTGTCCATCATCCGCAGATGAAACGGGTGGAGTGGATGACTAATGGATGAGTATTAAAGTGAAAAAAAAAACTCACATAAACTCTATTTTTTTGGTTATTTATACAATAGTTTTTTTATTTTATTAATAAAAAAGGAAATAATAACAACATATTGTTTGAAAAATTAATTTGCAACAAAAAAAATTAAGTAA